ATATATATTTAAACTATGGGATTTTAAATGACCCCCATATCACAGCCCCTGTCCTCACAAATGTTTTGATCATGTAGCAACAGATACATTTGCCACCCAGTACAGATGAAGAAAAATACTTTCGAAGTTTCCTATCATTTACGATAAGGCTGCTGTCAAAATTGATATTAATGTGTATTGCTATTGACTTTCTATATCTACGCATGTTATGATATTCATGATTTATATAACTTTTAAAATCTATTATAAATTCCTGTGTGTTGAGATGGTAAACATGTGGCGGCTGATGTGGTGGAATCAGGCGTTCGTCAATTTTTTTGGCAAATGATATTGCTATTCAGTTGCCTTGCCTTTGGTGAAAAAAATATATCCATCCATGTTGAAAAGAAGTCGAAATATGTGCGATTGAAGGATGAAGAGGATCATCTGATTTCAGAGGTAAAATTAGCGAGAAAATGGCCCGCCAAAGTTTGCCAACTTCCATTACATGTATATAGCTCGAGCAGAGGCCTTGGAAACTAAAAATTGATTTTTTTTTTTTTGCCTTTAACGAAATGATTTTCAGTAAAATCCACAGAGAAATATGTTTTTAAATAAACATAAATGGTGATGAGTCAATAGAAGAAAATTAGAACCAGAATGCGAGAAAAAAAAGCCAGTTTCTTTGATTTCAATATTTTGACAAGCACGCCTGATCACCAATTAGTTGTCACACACACACACACACACACACACACACACACACACACACACACACACACACACATATATTTATGGCCTATATATATAAATGCATCTGAAGTTCATTGACATCCGCGGTGCCTTGCCAACTGGCGTGGGCAATCATATGGACCTCCACTTCACTCTGTCTAGCGTTGCAGAAATGGTGTCTGTTGTTCTTGCTGCTCCTAGCCATGTTGTCATCTTGTCCAGTATCTTTTCCCTTTGTCTGCCTCTGCCTCTCTTTCCATCAAACTTGCCTGTTGTTACAATATTCTCCATTGCTTCTTTCCCTATTGTGTGTCCGAAGAAATTTGCCTGTCGCTTTATTTCTTATATTCGTCATAAGCTGTCTTCTACAATTCTGAAGTTACATGTCATGTTATTGTCAGGTTTTATTTTTCTCTTCATATTGAAATTCTTATATATAAATATGAGAGTAATAAATATGAACAATTTAAATTCAATTACTAGGCCTACTATGTTCATGTGTTTTTACTACTCCTGTAGAGCCACTGAAAATTCACCACATCTTATCTTATATGCAAGAAACATAACTTGTTAGCCACTGAAGTATAAAGAGCCATACATCTATAAATAGTTCCAGTCTGTTTACAAAATAATGATTGGCCTGACAGTTGATCCCGGCACTAAGAACTCAGTCACGGCACGCGGCACTGACGGTGGACCCGAACAGGGGCTCAGGGGGAACTTACGTAAAGTTATATAGATCTTCGTTTTCGTCTACTTGGCTTTACAGTACCATTACTTGGACTCACCAGTGTTGTTTGTTTGCGCTGTGCAGTGCAGTTGCACTGCCCATCTTGCTCAGCTACGGGTGGGCGATTCAACGGTGGAACATAACGGTCGTGTTGATGGTATGTTGTATGTTTGCTTTACGCAAAGCCTCTAGAATCTGGATTCTCTAGATTTCTAGATCTAGATCTAGATCTAGATATAGATCTAGATCTAGACTAGATTCTAGATCGAAGTGGCTAGCCGTATTCTAGATATCTAGCCTTAGTTCTCTTTTAGAGAGGTTTTCCGTTTTATCATGCAGGAATTTTTCAAGGAGGAAGCAGGGAGATTCCGTAAGGCAGGTTTGACTGTATTGTTTTATGTCATGTTTGGTGGAGTCTTTTTAAACTTAAACGGAAATGTCTTTGGATTAACTGGGTTTTCAGTGTAGGGAGGACTGCTCTAGTCTAATACTACTACTAATATAGTGACTTTATAGTGATCTGATGATTCTGCTGTTGTTGATAGAGTAGTGGGAAATGCCATGCTTCTGGCAAATGTCACTTTTTTTGCAAGTTTATTCGCATAGTCGCATAGATCTAGATCTATCTAGAGATCTCCCAGGGAAGTTTGAAGAATACCGGACCACTCGTACATTATTGCGCGAGAAGAAAGTGGCTATTCTCACCCGCCCGGAAGTTCTCGCAAGATCAACTCCTTCCCTCTTCTCTCACTCTGTCTCTTTCTGAATACTGTCTATCGGTGTGGACGATCAAATTGACCAAAACAAAGTTAAAAAATGATGTTAAAACACAAAAGTAAATTAATTTGGTTGTCTACAAAGATGCTACGGCTATTTAACTTTTCGAATCGAGCCGAACTATGCGGGTCGCCATTTTGTTTTGCCCGGAAATTCTCGCGCTACTCCTCTCTCTCTTTCTCTCTCTCTCTCCACTGCCCACAGACAAAATTGTACGCTTTTAGTAGGCTACAGTTGTAATGGAACGTTTGTTCACGGCACAGAATTCTACAATTTTTCTGTTATCACAGTGTAGAATTCTGTGGTTTAGGGTGAACGCAAAATTTGGTGAACGCGCACCGGGTGAGAATAGCCACAAGACTCGCCTGCACTATTCTCACTCCGGGTGAGAATAGAGGTGGCCCGCGAGAAAGTGGGGTAGGTGGGGCGGGTGGTTGGGATAGAGGAGGGGGGAGGGGGGTTCTGACAAAATTTTAATGAATAGGTCTACTGGTCCGAGATTCTCCATTGAGAGAATTAAAAACGGGAAAATTATGAATTCGTAAGGTTGAGACAAGGCAAAGTCAGTCCGCTGGTCCGGTATTCTTCAATCTTACCACATCCCATTCTAAAACTGCAATTTGATCTGCAGATTCCATACTTTCTCTTTGACATTGTCATGCACCTTACTTTATGCCGAAGTCACACAGAACACAGACGAAAATTGAGGTAGAAAGGCCAATATGCTGAATGCTGGTGATGTTATGAGAATATGAAACTCACCACATGCTTTATTATGCTTAGGTTAGGTGTAGGGTCACTATGAAAACTAGTTTTGCAGTGAAAACAGGCCATGATGAACCGAAGGTCATGCGACATGTATGCGTACAGTTGCTATGTGAGCTTTTGCCAAAAGGTGGGGGTGTTTGCTTAAGGACTTTTTAAATCAACCACTACTCATGGTAAAATATGTTTTCTTCTGAAAACTTTATGTATATGGCAAGGAAATAAGTTGGTCAAGCTGCATGAGCAAGTAGATTGATGTGTGCATCTTATATCTCTACATAGAAAGATAATAGTACTAAAAATAGGGCATTTTTTACTCATCCTGAGTGCACACGTAATTGTATGTTAAATACAGAATATTGTTAATCTTAAACTATCAAACAGAAGTGCATTCAAACATTGAAAATAGTTTGTATACACCATCATAACAGCGTGTGTCCATTAAAAGGGTTTTATTTTTTTATATTAATGATGTTATTGCTGAGTAAAATTTATAAGTTTGTTCATAACTCGTGTCATAATTACATCATCAGACTTTCCAAGGTCTAGAAAACCCAAATCGTTAAACATATCATCCCGGGGAATGACCGGTATTAAACATTGGTTTGACATTGATCCATCAGAAGGGTAATTTTCCGCTCCATCGCATGGTTTTGCTTAAATATGACTTTGATTGAGATAATCCAGGTTTGTCATAATGATGTTATGAACAAACACTTTATGATATTTCTGCAAAATATTATGTGAGGGACTTCCCACTGTTTCACAACATCCTTTTACATGGTGGAATGAACATGGAAGAGTATCGTGCTGATGACTCAAAAGAGAAGCGAAGAAGAGGCAAAAATATGCTTGTCATAATGGATTGTCATCATGTTATGAACGTGACAGTGTGTCATAATGGTTATGAACGAAACCTTATTCCATGTAAGTTACAGTTGTTTTGGGATGTATTTTTAATTTTAACCCAACTTGAGGATGTATTAGACCTTGCTTACATTCAGATATTTTGATTTTTATCATAAGTGTATGGGTCTGGATTTTAATTAGTATTTTACTTTTGTAGTAATGGTTATGAACGAACTACATTTTGTACTCTGAGGGCTTTCTAGAGTTGATAAACATTAAAAACATGTACACAGATACATATTATGAGGAAACTTTCATTTAATATAAAATTTTTAAGTAAATGACAGGTAAAAATATTATTTTTTAGGTCAAAACTGAAGTTTGTCATAATAGTTATGAACGAACAATTAAAGGTATTCTAAGGGTTTTTCAGTGATTAAACTTTGAATTCTTCCCACATATAACCTTATTTTGAGGAGAGTCTCATAAATTAAAACAATTTTATGTGAATGACAGAACAATAAGTTAATTTTTTGGGCCCAAAGTGAAATTTGTCATAATAGTTATGAACGAAACAGTGTGTCATAACGGTTATGAACGAAACACTATTCCATGTAATGTACAGTTGTTTTGGGATGTATTTTTAATTTTAACCCAACTAAAGGACAGAATAGACCTTACATACATTCTGATATTTTGATTTTTATCATAAGTGTATGGGTGTGGATTTTAATTAGTATTTATACTTTTGTAGTAATGGTTATGAACGAACTATTTATAGTCCACTTTATATATTTTGAGGGCTTTTCAGTGTTAACAAACTTTAAAAACATGTACAGAGATACATATTATGAGGAGAGTTTCATTTAATAAAAGTTTTAAAAAATGAATGACAGCTCAAAATGAGTAAATTTTTAGGTCAAAATTGAAGTTTGTCATAATTGTTATGAACGAACCATTTTAAAGGTATTCTAAGGGTTTTTCAGGAAATAAACTTTGAATTCTCCCTACATAAAGGAATCTATCATATTTTAAGGAAAGCCTCATAAATGAAATCCGTTTTATGTGAAAAACAGAACAATATAAGTAATTTTTAGGGGCCAAAAGTAAAATTTGTCATAATAGTTATGAACGAAACAGTGTGTCATAATGGTTATGAACGAACTTTAAATTTATGCATAATATGCCCTAAGACCAGTTTGCGTTTAAAAATAGCTGTTCAATGGTCTTCCATTTATCACTTGACTATAATTAGACCAGAGTGTTATTTTAGACAATTCTAGTCGATGAAACTTGATATAATCGATAGTATTTTGGTCACTTATTGTTCGTTCATAACTATTATGACACAAAAAAGTAATTTTATCAAAAATTAATAAAGGTTTTTATAAATTGTCAATTCTATGTATTTTTGGAAGTTATTTGCTATGTCTCAAAATATAACATCAGCCTAGCTGAAGAAAGGAACTTTGAGTATTCATAAATTTGTGTCATCACTGTGTTTTGTGTGCTGGCCTTGATTAGGGATGGGTGCTAGTCGATACTGGCCTATATCGAGTACTTTATCGATTAAGTGAGCCTAATATCGACAAGGACTCAGTACTTACTAAGATTAAACAAAGGGATGTAACAACAAAAATATCTTTACTGTAATAATTTCAATCACCTTTGACAATAAAAAGGCCAAGAAATGTGGTACAGTCAAACTGTAAGACGGCCACCCATTGTCAAGGAGAAAAGTGGCCGTTTGACACAGGTGGCCGTCTTAGTCAGGACTGGTCAAAATTAAGAAAGCAAATCAGTCTCTTCTGAGGTCCAAACCGGGGCTGATCTCAGACTTTAGACTGCCATTTTATAAGGCTAATTCAAAAGGGTTTTTGTTTTCTTTTGAAAAAGGCAAGGGGTGTGAGTGGTTTCTTTGTGTTGTTTTGTTGGTTTGATTTTTTGGTAAGCTTTCTTTTTTGTTGCTGATTTTGTGCAAGGATAAAATAAGTAAAAGTAAAAATGATGTAAGTAAGACGATGAAAACCGAGTGCTATGGTAAAACAAACACGGGTCACCATCACTCAGAGAACGAGCGATGCTTCTATCGTCAGTTCACGTCAATGTCCATTGTTACTTTGTTACAGATTAGATAAAAACAATACAGACCAGTCACCTCACATACGATTTGTGCATGGGTTGTGGATGGTGGATGGGGATTAAAGGTTATCATGATGGATCACATGCTTCCCTCACCAGCAATTGAAAATATATTGTTAGGTCTACCCATTGGTCAATTTGGGTAAGCATTCCTTGGAGGGACTAACAATAACGGCAAGTGAATAAATTTTGATGACCTGTCCGCAGCGTGATTGGGCCGATTCTAAATTTGTGACAAAGCATCGGACAATGAGTGACTACGCCTGGGGGCAGGGCTTAATTTTTTTTTCTTTCTCTTTTCTATTTTAGCTGAAACCCAGAAAGTTGCTTTCTGAATTTTGGGGGATCAATTGCATTCATAAACTCTTGGAAATTTATCCCCCAACTTCAACCGTGGAAATCGATTGCATGTCTTTGTTTTGGTCGATTTAAGCACAAGAGGGCTATCCCGTAAAATGCTGGTTTGAGAAAATCAAAGGTAAAGTTTTTGCCTGTGTTCAGTTTCTTCAAAAGACAAGGCGAGTTTTCCCTATAACCAAACAAATATATACACCAATGAAACCAAACTTCTCCTATAGGTAGGGCAATGCCCACTTTTGGTGTACGTCAAGATTTCTGAAAGCCTCTGAAATCTGGGTTGGCCTGCTTGTCCTTAAAAGCGGCCATTTATCACGGCCAATGTTTTTCGGTCAGATGCATTTTCTATACTTTTTAGTTTTTAAAACAAAGTATCTCAACGTCTATTAGTATCGACTAAGCGACAAAAATATATCTTTTAGAGACTATTTAGTTAAAAGCGTAATACCTTATGTCTATTGCTCATGGGTAGGGAGGTGGAATGGGCGAGGACCTGAAGCAAATCAGCTACAAGCACTAGCTCACAGTCCTGTGTGGGAGAAAGGGCTGCGTAGTTTGTGCCATGCCCCGTCATGTTGTCATGCCAATTCGATAATTGCCCAAGTCATTTTTAGCAAACTGAACTGAGCTATGGCCTCATCTAGGTAATTTGAATAGTTACCGAGATTTGTGTCAAAAATTGTGTTAAACTTTTAATTTTGATAACCCCAAAATAATGTTTTTAAAAATCTATGGTTGTATATGCTGTTTGTTTTGTCATTTTTCTCAAAACGCTAAAAAATGACTTGAGGCAATTATCGAATGAGCGCTGCAATGTGTTTTACATACCTCCATTTCTTGCAGCCAGTTACTGGCAGTATTGCTAAGCAAATTTTTTATTAGTTGAGTGAAGACTGTACCGCGCAGGAGTTGGCAGATGGTGGTTTAGGGAAAAAATAGTACCATTTCAATGTATTCCTGTTCCTTTACATGGTGCATCAATGGCAAAAGCTGGCAGTAAACAAGGCTGGTGGTACTGGCAGTATAACTTTCACACTGCTGTTGTAAGCATCATCATGTAAAGTTGGAATGATTTTGTATCGAACACTTTCACAGTCTTGGTGCACCATTTTACTTTTAGAGGTTTGCTGTTGATATTGTATAATTTAGACTATTTTTGTTGCCAGAAAGATAGGGTAATGAAGGGATTTTGGATGTCAGGCTCAGCTAAAATAAAAACGTTGTCAGATTATCGTTAGAGAATTATTGAGTTTGCTCAAATGCATATATATGGTTGAGTAAGCCATCACGATCTGAGCTTAAATATTAGTATTAGAACAACACAGATGTCACTGACATTGCATTTTTAAAAGTGGAGACATTTAAATTTAACAAAAACTGGTACAGTCAGGGATAGATAACCTGAACACGGACAATTGGAATACCATAGATAGCTTGTACAATTTGCCATTCCCTGACTGATATAGATATCTCTGTAATTTTTTCATTATCAGCTATCTATCCCAAATTCTAGATATATCGAACCCTTTTGTCATTTGTCAATCTCTGATGTGTTTGAGTCTATAAGCCTGACTGTATTGATTTTAGTATCACTGTCTCTTGCTCAGGTATCAGTATTGTACAGCACTTTTCTTGTTCATTTTTATTCATTGTACACAGATTTGGACTTTATGTTGCAAACTATTAGTTTTTGAGATATGGATGTTTGTATTGTATTTGAATTTTATTACTCTAATTACTTCATAATTTTATGTGGGGTGGATTGTTCTGTTGTCCTGGCCTGAGGCAGAGCCACTTAATCATCTGACAGTTTTTGTGTGTGTTATTGCTCTTGTTACTCTTGTCTTGCCTACCTTCTTGTTTCAAAGGCAGGAAGATATATATATTTATTTATGTTTTATATCCAAAATATTGAGTTTTTTTCTTGTGCCACGCCAGTGTATTGACAAAATGTTGAATGTGGTAGCATATTAGGAAAGACCAGTTATGAGACTTAATTCTCCCCTGAAAATGAAGATGACACTTGTTTTGACTCTTTTTTATTAAAAGATGTAAGAGAAATCGAGGTATCATGATTAGAACAGAGTTTTAGAAAGATTCACAATCATAGAAAAGAAGGGGAGCCGGCGGTAAAGAATGGAATGCTGTATGCTATAAAGGTATATATATATATATATATATTATACATGTATATTTAATCAACAATAGCGGAATGGTACAATCATGGCATTGACATGGTTTGGCAGGGAAAGAATATAGTGAGAATGTAGGTGTGTATCCGTTGACAAAGTGCTCTCAGAAAAGCTGTCTACTTTTTCTTTAAAGATTTTTGGTCTCTTGTCTGCTCATCGTTGTTCCGTGTCAAATCTATCTGTTCAGCCTCAATCGGCGATGATTGATCTGTATTTAAACATGATATTAAATCAGTAGATTGTTTAAATCTCTGTTTTTTCTGTTTAATTTTTCAGGTCAGACTGCAGGCGGTTGGGAGGTTGATTGCACACAGCCTTCAGAAAAGGTGCAGAACATTGCCCAAGTACACCTAGGGTTTGCTGCTGCCAAAGAGATGGGTTCTTTTGACGATTCATCAAAGCATGATTTCAATTTAGAAGTTGTGCTTTCATGTTTCCAAAGATGTCTCAGGACAGATAAAAGGGTCGGACTTGAAGATTACCTACATGCTTATCATGAGCTGTGCCGGTTTTTTAAACTCACCGGTCGACTTTTCGGTTTCGTAGCAAAAGACATTGAGTCGAAAATGAAAGCCATTGAATATCACATGCATTCAGAACATGGCCACCATTATGACACCGTAGACTCAATGGTTGAATATGAGGTGGACAAAGGAACTGCTCGTCACAAAGGTTCTCACCCGTCTGGTTGTCGCATGATGCTGAGACTGCACTGGGCTCTAGAATTCATCCTTGCATTCATGAGACAGCTTCTGGATGAGGATGAGCAGGCGAAGACCTCGAAAGTTGCATGGGATATCTACTCAAAGACACTCTACCACCACCACCCGTGGATCACCAGTAAGCTTGCGGCAGTTGCTGTGTTTGCCTTACCGTCCAAGAAGCACTTGATTGATGTCATGTGCAAACACGACTACAGTAATGTGATGGTCCTCTTGGAGCAGGTGTTGGATGCAGGGCAGCCTGTGTATGACGCTGTTGAGAGGATTATGCAAGAGTCAAATCTCTCACACATCGCTTAACACCTTCGAGACCACCGACGTACTTATACGCAAACTGCGCCCGACCAAATCGGACCATCGACGTGTATTTATGCGATGGCAATACCACTCATTCAAGCCAGTTCAAGTTTATTCAAAGTTATCCATGTTTTCCGACTGCTTGTTCAAGCGCTGAAGAGTTCTTTCCCTTCGAATTCACCTTAGTTGAAACCTGTTTGGGTTGATTAGAAGTGAAAAAATGTTTTCGAAGTGAGTATTTACAAGGGATGTGGGCGGCGGCTCCTGTCCTGGGGATAGGATCAGCTGGTGTGGGGGCCGGTCCCGAAGGCGTTAAGGTGTGTTTCAGGGTTCTTGTGTCATCATCATAAACATATTTACTGTGTGTGCAAGTCTGTGCTGAAAGAAAAACAAGAGTCGTCATATCATCATGATTTCAAGGAGTGGTGTGTTTGTTGACTTTGACTACTATGCGAATGCAGGCTTGCCAACCTTCCTGGATTTGTCAGGAAATTCCAGAATTGCCATCATCGCTCGATGTCTCTCCCCCCCCCCCCCCCCCCCCTCAAAGTATTTTTTCTTAGAAAAGGCATAGAAATGCTGAGGACGAAGGAATATGTGTAGTAACTGTACTGTTACATTCTCATCTCTCTCTCTCTGTTTCTCCACTGGTTTATTTGAGCTGTTTTTGTGGTATGAGTGTTGTTTTTTTAGTAGCCTATCACAGAAGTGTGTGTCCGTGGCGCTCAGGAGCAATCAAAATTCCAGAATTCAGTATCTCAAAAGTTGGCAAGCCTGGGAATGCTTCCGCATGGGAAGTCTCATTGTGATTGTGACAGCAAAATTTAGTTCCCAGTTTTGAAAGATTTTAAAAATTCAAAATTTTTAAAATGAATAGTGGACATGTTTGAGTTTTGTTGCTTTATAATTCCCTATTTGGAGGTATTTGTGGTGAATTTTAGACTTAAAACTAAAAATAACTACCTCAATGTGGAATGTTAAATTGATCAGTTGAATTGATCTTTCAAATAATTAGTGTTTGTCTTTTGATTGTTTAGACTGTCACTATTCTTTCCAATGATGCCCTGTGCAAACATTGGTCCACATTTTCTCAGGTGAGCGTATGAAAATATATACTTTTGCCTTTTTGCTTCTCATGTGAAAGAAATGTCTTCCTTCAGTCAGTTCCCACTGTTTATTTTCTGAGACCATGAATAGATTTGTCATTATTTCCTTTTCATCCCTGCCCAAAGGAGTATTTTGCCGAAAGTCTCCTCTTGCGAAAGAAATTTTATACTCTTGAGATGGAAATAATCATGAGATTCAATGTTGGTTGTGATATTACCCTGCCATAAAAAAATATGTTCCTCAATGTGATCATGTTTTCTACGGATTTACCATTTTTTCCCCCGTTTTTTGCTCAATGAACTCTGAGAATGTGTTCCATCTATCAAATTATATGCTGGTTTTTTTAGTATACTTCATTTCAAGCCATCATGTGTCATTGTGGTAAAATCAGGTGCTCGTCATAATAATTGAATAAAAGCAGATATTTTTCTGGGCAATGGGCATTTACTATTTGATTTGGGGGGAGGGTGGCTCAGCACCTTCTATGTCCACTAAAGTAACCTATTTCTATGTCAATATTACTGAAAAACATAAACTAAACATATATGAAATGCACAGAAAATGTAAATTTGCAATTTTCAAGAATACGCTGGCTTTTGAAGTCGCCAAATGTTGGCGGCCAATTTCTCACGAATTTTACCTCTGACAGGCCCCTCCCCCCACATACTTAATTCTATCGCAAATATCTTGATGAGAATTTTTTTCATCGCAAGCAAGACAAATGAGCTAGCTTTAGGATTATAGTTTGATGAGCACCTGATTCCATTGTTGCAGCATGATATATTTTTTTAGGAAATATTTATAATTTTGTCGCAGTCAGCATCTTTTGTGTCACCTGATGTGGTACTTGACACTATGATAAAAATAAAATATATTTACTTCTTGAATCATATATTTTTTATATGCTTGTAGTGCCTTAAAAATGATTTACAGAGTTATTCCCTAGGGGCAATTTATACCACCCTGCTGTGCAGCACACACAAATGCCTTGGAACTTCTGAAGGTACTAAACTAAAAGAATAGTGCAGAACAGACGATAATGCAGCCGATATATGTGAGGCATCATGGTGAAATCAGGCGCTGGTCAATTTTTGGGCATGTAGAGTTATTGGTATCATCTTAAAGCTTGTTCTCTTGTCTTTATTTGGATGAAACAAATATCCATTTATCTCAAATACAAGTCGAGATATTTGCGAAAGAAGGAGGTGGGGGTCACCTGTTTTCAGAGGTAAAATTAGTGAGAAAATGGCCGCCAAAGATAAGTTATTTCCTTAGCTTAAGAATCTGTGGTAACTGAAAATTTACATTTTTTGTGCCTTTAATCAACATTTTTCAGAAAAATTCACACAGAAATGAGTTCTTTAAAGGGCATGAAAGGTGTTGAGCTAAAAAACAAAAATCCGATAAAAATTCACAAACCTGCGGAAAAATACAAGTTTCTTCATTTTGATTATTTTGACGAGAGCCTGGTTCCACCACGCTGCCTCACATATATATATATATATTTATTTTTTATGGCTAGTGACTCCTGAAAACTCCAGCAATGAAAGATTTGTGGCATTGTAATTCATACAAGCTTGAAGATTTTTAAAAAATGTGTGTTGTCATTACTCATACTGGCTAGAATATATATATATTTTGTGCAGATAAATATTTAATTTTTGAAATGTATGTTTATAATAACTACTGTGTAGTCTGACAAAATAATAATAATATGGTTAATCTGAACACAGTGGTACATCTACACCAAAAGAAGATAAGACCCCCAATTCTATCTCTTTGGTGAGATTTTAGCAGCCTCTCATATTTATAACCGAAAACCAAACTTGGCTAATCTGTAGACAATCTGGTGGTCCAGCAGATTTTCGTTCAAGAAGACTCTACCCTGTAATTTGTTTCTACAATGATATTTTTCGCTGCATCAATTATATTTTACTTTTCTTTTTGTTTAATTGACTGTTTGACAAATCTGGAACATTGTTTTTCTATTTAATAGTAATACATTTTTATGACCTTTTTGCTTCCTCTGTTTTCAACCTGGTGACATACCCAGCTTTTTAAAGGGCAAGAAAACTTTCTTGGGGATTTTTACTGAAAAAGAAAAGCGCCAAATCACTTGAACACCAGTTTACTTTTAAAAAAAATTAATTCTTGTTGTGCCATTTCGTGTAAAGGTTCATGTACAGCTATTGACTGTTTTCCTGTTTTGTTGTTGTTTTGAATGTACCAAAGAAGTTTACACCTGTGTACTGCACCAAAATAATTATCACTGTGAGTGAAGGTCAGAATAATCAGATCATTAGCTTGTTTATTGTCAGTGAAAATGGAGATGGGGCAGGAGGGGGAAAGGGGGGGGGGGGGGGTACCTGATCTTTTCTGTTACTACAGGGAATTAGAACTTTGGAAATGTGAACTCATTACTGTTGCTTTTAAGAATTCTTGCAAGGCTGACCAATTTAAACACTTAATTGGATTTCCATTCGTATCGATAGGTAATAACGTTTATTTAGCATTGGTTTAACAGTTTTTGTTTGAAGATATATATATACATTTTTTAGAGTAAGCCTAATGACGTATAAACATAACGAAGCTTCCCAGTACAAGAGTAGAATCCACCATTGTTGCTCCAAGCAGTGACTGAGTTAAGCCTTGCTTTGATACATTTTGACAAAGCTTGTTATGAACTGATTTATTGTACACCTGTTTTTGTTACATTTTGTTACGTTTTAGGTTCTTCCGTATTACCTGGTAAGTTTTTTGAAAGTACTGGCTTTGCCATAGTTTTTTTGTTTCCCTGAACTCAATATAGTTGAACAGATGCACAATATAATATCCATCAAATGCTTTGGTGTTCTGTTCATGTTTACTTTCTTATGGAACAAAAAAGATCCAAAGGTTTTTACATTTCATTTGTTATTCCCCCCAAAAAGTGTTAAACAGTTTTATGGTTTTGAGAGGATTTTGTGTACTGCCATGCAGCAGAACAATATTATATCAGTGACAAAAGTTTGAGAAACAAAAGCTATTTAAGAAGTGGGAAAACCCATCCTTGAATTTTGTCAAGACATTATCCTTAACATTCCAAGATAGTAAGTTGCAATATCATGACCTTCAATAGGAAAGACTATTTTAATTTTTTACTTTTTTTCAATTGAAATTCAGGATGCCAGCATATTGATAAGTTTTACTCTGTTTTTGTTTTTAGATTATCTTTCTGTGCAATGTCCTGTCCTTGTATTTTACCATGTTACAGAATCATTCCCCTATAACTTTCAACCTTCAGGTGCCATCACTACCAATCTCCCATCTTCACATGGTTCTTGAAATGCTTTAAACTTTAATTTTAATTCCAGTAAGAAAAAAGTGTTGATATGTAGAAAGTATTCCAGCCTGCATTCAAAATGTAGGCCAATTTCCTCTTCTTTTTTTGTTGTTGTTCATTTGTACTTTGATAACAGATTCCTTTTCCTTCTCCTTTTTATAAATCATACTAAGAAAAGATTTACCATGAGAAAATATCTCTGCTCTTATGACTTTGTCATTGTGGAAGCTTCAAAAGCCTTTGGTTTCTTACAGTTGTCTGATTGATATCCAACCGTTAACTTGCCAAATGATTTGCTTGTCTGGTCGTAATAAATAGAAGAAATGTAAAACTTACTTTTGTTTTTTAATAATCCCTTTTCGCTTTCTGAAATTCAAGCGTTCAAATTTGACATTAAAATATTTTTTTAATTTTTAGAAAAATTACTACAGTGAGCATGTCAAATGTGATATGTTTTAGTGCTAGTGTCATGTGAGTTGATCAGTTGTTGAAATTGTAAAAAAAAAATAGTGAAAATATATATATTTATATGCAATCTGGTTTTGTTTATTGACTTTGCGCATCAACGAAGTGATATACCTTATGGCTGTACAGATGTATACTTGCTATTTGCCATATATTTTTCTCGTATACCAGTGCATAAATGTTTTATTTATACTGTACACAAGTTGATCAGTGCTTTAGTAGGAGAGAACTGACATTGTGTTTGTCCAAAATTTAGAACATGATATGTTGTTGTTGTTGTTAGCGATCCAGTAGCGTCTGAGCGTTAACTCTTCTGCATGATGCCATTCGGTAATAGTTGCATGTTTGTTCTAATTGTTGTCTTAAGGAATAGCGGCAATTACATCATAAAAGCTATGGCAAAGTGGCAGACCCCCTGTGAACAAGCTACAGATGTTTTTGTAGCCAATGCCAATTTCACTACCGGTATTTAACATTATTACTATGAATAAGATACATGTATGCTCAACTTTATCGATTAATGTTAAGTTAAGGTACTTCACTTTTGCGTTTTGACATAGGATGTTTTTTTGTCATTCATGACTCTTTCTAATTAATGATGCTACCTGCTCTTGTGAACAATTGTTTCAAATCTTTTTATCG